TCTATATAACTCAACAAATCATAAAATAAGGCTATTTTCATTTCTTAATATGACGAAAACAAACAAAACTCCATTGTTGAGAAAATAACAATGAATATAATATACATATAGAAGAGGCTTTCTGAATGGATGTGGCTGACTACAATTTTATATACAGATTACAATAGGATAAAGTCATTTGTATACTATATTATGTGTATGAATTATTAGAACGTGTAACTCTTTATAACAACATATTATACGTCTGTGTGAAATAACCAAACACCTATATCTGATTTATTTTACGATTTTAGCACCTTCTTGTAACATCATATAACACCCAATAACATCCGTACAACTCTTTATTAAAAGTTTTATAGGATATGTCTTAGTAAGTTAATAGTTTGTCTTGTTTTCTTACACCTAGTCCCAGATCGCTGACTCTTTGCTTTATTGTTTATATGAACATTTTGAGAGCTGGTGAACAGAAGGTACGGTGGGAGCCGAGGTTCTTTTTGCTTAGTTTTCGGAATCTTTGACTTTTCTGGGGATTTTGGCAATCTTCGAATTGATATTTTTCTGAAACAGCTTAGATTATGTTTCTTTCAGGAGATGTGTCCCAGTTCTTTCTACGAAAATTAGAAATGCTGACACGTGCTGTTCTGTTGATTTATAGATAACATTTTCTAATTTAACTCAATGGAAGATCTAAAATGCATCTTGGAAATAGTAAAAGATTCAAGTTTTGAACAGTGTATGGAGAGGAATATTAGAGGCATAATTGGTGTGACGATCCTCAAGAATAGACAAAACAAAGGGTCTTATCTTGCTCATTGGCCCCTAGCCACCATCCACATCAACAGCCATGTAAATGGCTGGGGAAAATCATCACTTTGAACTTGATTATGCCTAATGACAGTTAACAGTGTTGAGTTGATCTTCTCAGTCAGTTCTCTACCCATATGAGAAATTTGTTAATTTCGGTATCATTCAATAGTTAAGCAAGAACATGCATAGAAAATAAAATTGACAAACCAGACTTTAAAGCCCTTATAAAGGGCTATAATAGAGTTTAAGATAATGAAATAAGATTTCGAATTAACCTAATTGAATACTTTATTTTGACCTAAATCAAAGCAATTTAGAACCTCTAAAATGGTATTTTTGATAGACATGTTCACGACCCGTTTTCTTGTGCCTTTATTACAATTATCATGAACACTTAATCTATATAATCTATATAACCTATTAGCTCAATAGGCTATGAGCTAGGCTATATCTTTTTATGCTTCCATATTTACCAAGACGGGAAACGACATTCATAAAAACCTCAAACGGACATCATTCATTATATTAAGTCACTAATCAAAGCTCAATTAACAATAATCTCTAGTAGCTCTATTTGAGTTTGCTTAATATGTCATTAAGTTCTTGAACTTATTAAACGATTTTTTCATGCATTGTCATTTTATTTCACTTTGAAAGTATTGATATTAATATAAACATTGATCTTAAAGTAGAATTATGCTAGTTAGGCAAGTGCAAAATGAATTGTCACCATTGCTTGTATGTTGTGTATTCAATCCTAAATATTTTGTGTTTTAATGGTTTTAAAGAACCTTTCTCGAAAATATGACATACATATGTCACGCCATGTTCTATGATCCTTTGTGGTACAAACACTAACCGATATACAGGTTATACTTATTACTTATTTTATTGTATAAAAGTTATCAAAATATTCTTAATGTAGTGAACTTTTGAATGCTTAAACGCGTATATATTGATCTATTGAACCCTGTCAATAAGTGCGTATTAATCTCTTAATTGTTACTTTCTTAACAAAGCTAGAATCATTGCAATACGTGAGACACCAACGTTGTTATTTAGCTACTTAATTCGTCTATAGAAATTCTTTAAGCACAGAAATAAATGAACTGGGAATTTCCTATCAATCCCTTTTTACTATTCCTTTTTTATATTCAATGCCGTTTTTGTGGTTGAAAATAGTAGATAATCGATTCTTCCCGACAAATGATTTTCATATTTTAATATATTGTGTCTGGCTATCAAGTATTTAGCCTGTAATTATCAGAGTTTAATTATAATTCTAATATTGACGACAATATTTGTAATGATTCTAGTGTATTTCGAAATTGGTATATTACTTATCTGTGCGACATCAGGACCATCTATCTAAGTTGGTTTTATTCTCTATTATTTTGTTCTGTTAAATTCTTTTCTGAGAAATTCTAACCTTCGAAAGTGATTTGTAAATCGTCGTGAACTATAAAGGCGTGGGAAGAAATATATGTGTATTAAAATCCGAGATAAGACTTTTAGTAATGTGTAATGTGATTTAAGTAGTATTTGAGTAAAAATTAGTGTCTTCACATTATGTGGTGTTATTTATCTTTAGTATCATGCGGATGAATATTTTAATAATAATCGAAAAATGAAAACAAAAATAAAATAATATGAAATGGACCATATGATGTCCATCGTCCTGTTTTGCTTTTTTGGTCACTTTGAGACCAACAAGGTATTTTGCCTTTAAACAATAAAGGAGATTTCCCTGTAAATATAACGGAATGAATGAGGTTAACGTTTTGTCAACACACCATTTCGGTCATTTTGAGACTCAGACATGATAATTTCAATTTTAATATGCAATGCCAGTGGCGGAGAGATTTTGTCATCGAGTCCCAATTAGCAACGGGTATTGTACATACAAAGGACTTTAACAAATCCCACAGGTTCTTCTCGACCCAACCGGACACGCCGCTACTGTAAATGTTATAATGTAATAGTTAGCTGATTATACTTGATGTAATAATTAGTTTAAACATATTTTATTTTATTCATTGAAGGACAATAGGATGAGACATAAGTTTTTTTTAACTTATTAAGTCTTCTCCTTTATATAAATTTATTAATCATAAAGCATACTAGTATTACAATAAGATACATTTATATGAAATATGAAACATGAATAAATGTAATAAATGTATTCTTACTTTTAATAATAATATTTAGAATTCATTCAAAAAATTTGAAGCTACCATGGTTTCCATGCGTATAAGTATTTGTATCAGTTGTTATAGTAATATTTATCATTGTAAATATAATAATGAGGTATTCTGATGTGATGATATTACTTATAATAACATGTGAATGAGTATTTTAACAGCACTGTCATATCTAGATGTAATAATGAGATGTGATGATCACAGTGGTATGCATGTGTATTTTTAACAGCATTATAGCTGCAATATATTCTTCAAAAAAAAGTAGGAGATATTGAAATGCAAATACCTATGCAGGTTGTGATATGACAAATAGTCATGGACACTTGACATGCTTTGCGAGTGTGTTCAGATGAAGAACTTATCGCCCCAACAGAACGACTGAGCTGCACGTGCGACACGCAATAGCGCCATACACGTGGGAGGGGTTCATTGCCAAATTTGACACGTCAAGGAAGGGTTGATGAAAACTGCCGCGTGCTGGTTTATCCTATCCATGTTGCTTTCCTATCCGTTCTTGCATAAGAATTACTGTTTAGCGTATCTTTGCTTTAATTTGCTACGTGCTATTGGCATGCTTCAAATGGGTTCTACACAGCGAGCAGTAGCCAACATGCTTAATGTGTCACAGCCTGTGATCAGCAGACTGTGGAACCGGTACCAACAAACACACAATGTTGATGATAGACCTCGTTCAGGTCGTCCTAGAGCCACTACACAAGCCCAGGATCGATACATTCGTACACAAGTCCTGCGAAATCGAGACAAACGGCCAATCAGCTTTACGTAAACTTGTAACAAGTTACAGGAATTCGAGTTACACTCCAAACGATTAGAAATCGGCTACATGCAGCCCATTTGTATGCGCGAGGACCGCGTGTTGTGCCTCTATTAACTCGCCAGCACATGCAAACAGGCGTCAATGGTGTAGGCAGCGTAGAAATTGGGGTAATCGTCGATGGGCGCGTGTATTAAATTAACATTTAAACATTGCATAAAAGTCTCTCTGGTTTTTTTATGAGAGTGCCACTTCTAAAATCATATTTAATATCATTTCTGTAATAAATCCTACTTTACATTGTTAAATGTGTACTCAGTAGGTGGATCATTTTATGTAAACATTTGTAGTATACACAAATTATAAATTTAACCATAGATATCATACAAGTGTCCCGTCAACGGTATTTTAATTACAACATTAGTTATTTATGGAAGGTAAGTACTCCCAGTTTATGGCTAATATTTTTTTATAATTATTATAATGGGAAAAATAATTTGACTGAAGTTCTCCACATTTCAAGGGATCTAATAATGTACAAGCGAACCATCGGATAATCCCCCTAGGCATCTGTGATGTTCCCATCTTCCCCAAATAAGATTGTTTTAAAACAACTTATTATCGATATGTTCACATACAAATGTTTTCGATTTAAAGGTTACACAGCTCTAAGTCAATAGTATCCCAAATTATTCGACGTAAAATTCACGAATAAGAATTCAATATTGACCCATTTCAATCAATGGACTCCTGATATCTAATATTTAAGACCAAAAGATCATTTTAAAACCAGTCACCGTCGTCATGTTCTCTGTGGTCTTGATGAACAAAGCAAAACATCTCCCACTGAAGTAATTAACAATGTCTGATCCATAAATGACGACAAGAAAAATAGATAAACTTACGATGGACTAACAAGGCGCAACCGACTATCATTCATTTTGGACCGCCCACGTATTTCACTTAACGTAACTGATTAGAAGTTACCATAATTGAATGTTGAATTAAAAAATGAAATGTAAATCAGTTTGTATTATTCATCTTCATCTGTTTTAAAGTTCCAAACAATTAAACTATACGTCTTTTAAAATTATTTCATGCTGTTTTCATATATATTTAAAGTAACCATATCGCACCTTTGAATAATTTAATTACTGTATAATTATTATCGGATTAAAATCTGATAATAATTACCATAACAAATTTTAATATCCTACCTGCTCCTATGGTACTTAGTAACTGGAACCTTTTCTCAAACCAGGTTACCAGGGGTTGAATTCTAAAGTCATCTTCTCGTGCTTCAACAGGTTTAGACAGAAGCGTCACAATCCTTTCATACACATTGGACATGTTTCTTTCTTTAATACTATATTAAAATAGTTATGACTTTCACTTACACTGATCTTTTATCACAGGCAGACGACAATTTCTCATAATATGAAACTCTGAGAACTTATCCAATATCATTCATATTTAAGAGTCGTGTCCTTCAAACACTTTTTTATAGATTATCGACTATAGCTTAAACATCGATTAGCCGCTCATCCAACAATTCAAAAGAGTTTAAAATTCAGAGACTGACTGCCATGTTAGATCGAATATACTCCTTTTAGTCAGTGCCTATGTATTGCTAACGGTGTTTACACATAGTAATAAATGGATGTCTTTGTGTATAGGTTAATAAAGATCTCCCCGTATGAAGTATTCACTGAGATAGCGTGTTATAAGTTTTACAATAAGTCGGGTCTCAACAGAACAAACAGGACTATAAACACCCAATGTCAACAAATATACCAACGATAAATAGTAAGCTCGCCAACAACGGTCTGTTGAGTGACTATTTAACGAATTCCTATGTGGGAGCCTAACTCTACTAAAACACATTTAATAAGCATATCTGTGATTTAAGGTAGAGATCGTATTGTTCTATAACGTCTTCTGATCACGGACTGGTTGATCAAATATCGATTTATGTGTATCAATATTTTTCATAAAAGCAGCACTGTCTCTAATTAGTCCATAAAACTGTTCGTTTATGATTAATGCCACACGAACCACTGAAATCTGAGACACGGCATATTGTCATTACAGTTGAAAACTTAGTTACCAGTACGTTGCCGATATTGTGGGGAGAGAGAGAGAGAGAGAGAGATGGAGTTGAACGTCCACTCGACACAAACTCAGTAATTTCGGGACTAACACATGGTTCAATTTTATTTCAATTATTCGCTTGCGCGTAGGGGTCTTTAGAAGTGGGAGGAAACGGGAGGACCCGCAGAAAACCCACGAGGTTGGAAGGCGACCCTACTCCTTGTCAAGTACAACCGGGAAATCGAAACCACGCCAGTTGACTCAATGATAGACCTTATGATGCAGCACACGCTAACCATTTGGTCACGCCCCCCCCCCCCCCCCGAATCTGATTAAAATAATATCCTATTTCGTTTCGTTTTTTTTATAGTTCAAAATTTTGTTTTAATTGTTTATGAACATCCCTCTCTAACTAAAGGGTCACAGAATATGGGAATATTTCAATGATACCAACATCTCAAACTTCAGAAGCATCATACAAATTAGTATTACAATCCTTGTGCTGAAAATTTCCTGAAAAAAATGTAGTCAAAAAAGTAATTATGACAGAGTTGACAACATAAAGGAGGCCTAAAAATAACATTCTATTGTTCTATAATTAACATAAATGCAAGAAACACCACGAATCCTAGATTTTGATAAAATATTGAACATTAAGCTGAGATTTATACATCTACACCATTTTTATATTAGGGTGTGGTCTCATTGTCCCGAAATGTCTCAGGGTTCTAAGTTTGACTTTAAACAAAAAGGGTTAAAAAGCCTTGACATGTACAAAATAACTATTTATTGGTGTAAAATTACATTCCTAGCTGTAATTCAACCACAAATTCCAATTACTATCATTTAATTGTCAACACAGGTGCAATTAAATCTCTCAGAACACGTTTTTTTTAAAAAAGGATGGGGTGGATCGTTTATAGCCTCTCTTAATGGAATGGCGGAATGAAAAATGTCTAGAAAGGCTTGAATATTGCTTTCTAGATAAAGGAAATGCAAGAATTTAATGTTCAAAAGATGCAAAAAAGGCTTGTGCAGGGGAAAATAGTGGCAAAATTGAGCCAACCCCTGTTTTGAACATTTTTTAAAAACCCACCTGCTGTACATTATTAACACAGTGTTACCAATTTTCAATTTTATGTAGGAAAGCTGGGGCATTTTCTTATAGAAACTTAATGATCCCATCTAAGTTATATTAGACATTTTGACTCATTTGAGTGGTCATGAAAGGATTAATTTCTACATCGAAATGGTGGGAATCTGGAGATTTTCTGTAAATATTCCTGATTTTTAGACAAAATTTGGTCAAATTACAATACTGTTCTCTTTATCTGGGCTAATGAAGATGGGCATACGCCATACATTGTGCTATGAGGGAAATTATGCCCGGGCAAGGGATCTTTTACGTGCACACCCATGTATACACGGAACCGCGGTTTTTCTTCCCATCCGAACGACTATAGACACCTGTCCTTGTCAGGCCCTCTGTCCTGCACCACTGAGAAGGGGAAACCCCCGATGAACTTTCTCGGCCAATGCAGGGATTGAACACGCGACCTCCAGGCTAGCAAGCCGTAGTCTTACCCACTTAGCCACCGTGGCTCCTTTAGGCATAGTTTAATGTTATTTTTGAAATATTTTCCACGTTACAAGCGCCTGTTTATTCCATATAGATGTGGCAACTTATTCCGTGCAAATCTTCACAACAGCCAATATTCGATCAGCAACATTTCATTTTACGTCTACCGCCAGCTTGTTGACAGCAAAATTACTAATTCAGTAGAAACCTTGATGGTAAAATATTTTATTTGTAAACGATTTTTTAACTACATCTATAAGTACAACTGATTTAGAAAAAAGACATAATTAAGTTGGCTCATATTAAACAATATCTTAAAATATGTTGGTACAAATAAAAAAAAATATCTAATTATTTGCAGGCAAAAACTCTTATAACATTTGCTCGACCCCTACCACCACCCCCACATGTTTGTATGTCGAAAATTTCGAATTGATTTTGGCGCCATTCAAATTCCCATTACGGTTATGTTCAATATGAAATATGGGCATATAAAAATATCTAACTATTGTTTAATATGGGCGTATAAAAAACTAAATAATGTATAATAATTAGGGAAATACAAATATAAATTATAATCTCTTATCTATAAGTAAATAATTGATTAAGAAATAATATAATTTATTTGGACTGATGAATTATCAGTTGGGCCACATTAAAGATACATTATGGTATATTCGATAACGAGTTGGCAGTTAACACTATAATAGATTAAAACTATATAATGTAAAGGCAATTTGCTGAAAATTTCATTCAAATTCATCCACTATGAACCGCCGAGAACTAAGCATTGAAATTACAACCTAGCCTCGATCACCATTACTAAAGTCAGTACGATAAACAGCATAGTCTCGATTATCCATTTAATCGTTAACTCGTGAAGGAAGGTTATGCAGTAAATCGGCTCATAATCCACAAAATATCGCAGGCTAGCGATGCCATCTAAAGTTGATTATGGTCTGGATAGGTTAATTAATGTCTAATTAATAATTTAGATAACATTTCAGACCTATAGAAGACCTGCAATAGGCAGATTTAGCTCTTGCATAATGTATGTTTAATATAGGTGTATAAAAAAACTAAATGTATAATAATTAGGGAAAAGCAATATAAATCATAATCTCTTACTTATAAGTAAATAATTGATTAAGAAATAATATAATCTATTTGGACTGATGAATTATCAGTAGCCCACATTAAAAAATATTTTGAAATATGAGGGTATAGGTAAAAAGAAAAATCTCCTCGACCCCACAACCAACCCCACATCACCATAACGGTTATGTTCCAAGTTTAGGAAAATGGTAAATTTAGAATTTTATTCTGTAACCTGAAATGTGGGCATATAAAACTATCTATCTATTGTCTAATATAGGCGTATAAAAAAACCTAAATAATGTATAATAATTAGCATACTCCTCGCAGTAAATAATTGATTAAGAAATAATATAATCTATTTGGACTGATGAATTATCAGTTGGCCCACATTAAACAATATTTTAAAATATGAGGGTATAGATAGAAAAAAAAAAGTCTCCTAGACCCCACAACCAACCCCACATGTTTAGATGTCGAAAATGATTTAGACCCCATTCAAATTACCATAAATAGGTAACACCCCCCCCCCCGCCCCATCGATCACATCATGTTGGTATGTCGAAAATTTCGAAAGAATTTTGACCCCATTCATTTTCCCATAACGGTTATGTTCCAAGTTTAGAAAAATAGAAAATTTAGAAGTTCTGTAACATGAAATATGTGCAAATAAAAGTATGTAATTATTGTTTAAATCATGTTCAGTAATTAATTTGTCCAATACATTAAAATATGCTATTTTGGCAGGCTGATTTAATTAAGTTATTTACATATCAAGGCGTAATATATAAAAACAGAAAATGGGTAAAAACAAAAACCAAAACGAAAAACAAGTTCTTGTATATCATTATGTCACTTTAAAACACCATGTTAAAATTCACACATGAGAAGAGAGGGCCATCACTTGTCCCTCGGTCATAATAAACAGGAGGTCCAGCTGATTGATGTTTGGTGTCATCACTGCAGATAGAAAAAAAAAACGTGGGGAAAACGGATCTGTTTGCTTTATGTGGAAAAGCGAAGTTCTCGCAGTAAAAACCACATAGGTGGACCAGTAGATTATTTCCATATTAAAAACTGTCCGTGTGATTATTTCCATATTTAAAACTTCAAGTCCTTAAAAACAGTTCACCACTTCAGCATTTCAAATCATATATAGTCTGCAGTCCATTAAAGTTTTCCTTGTTGAGGATGACTCTTCTCAGACAAAAGTTACCTGAAAAGGGAAAGAAGAGCCGAGCCGGCAGCAACACAGAAGTATTTAAACATTTATAATACATACATGACATTAAACTTTTAAACACAAATAATATAGATTTATATGTACTGCCTATATTAATAAATGGTTGGATTATGTTATCCAAAGACAACTGAGCATATAAAAATGAATATTTATATCAATCTTTTTAGGATTTTCTGACAATCTCTAGTGTCTGGTATTATCATATTGAGAGCCAACTACGCAACACTAATTGGAAAGTTGGGTGCTTAATAGTTAAAGCATTCGCGTTGCATCATAAGGTCTGTCATTGGGTCGAGTGTTGGGTTTCGATTCTCCGCTTGTACGTGACAAGGAGTAGAGTCGCCTGTCCAACCTCGTGGGGTTTCTCTGGGTCTTAAAGACCCCTACGCGCAAGCAAATTATTGAAATAAAGTTGAACCATATGTTAGTCCTGATATGACCTAGTTCGTGTCGAGTGGATGTTAAACCCCATCTCTCTCTCTCCAACCCTAACTCGCATTTAGGAAGGGGTGGTAGAATTTTCCTAAGTGTTCTGAACAACTGGAGTGTTTACTCACTATTGGCCTTATATTGTAAAAAAAATCATATCGCTTTACAAAACCATGCATATAATAAGGACCTTTGTCCTGCAATACCGACATGGAGAAACCGCGCTGCAAAATCCCGGGGAACATAATCATAGTATTGTGAGGAATATGGCCGATAACCCGACACCACGACAACCCGACATCACGACATTTTAACCCGACAATAAGACATTTTTTTAATGTCATGGTGTCGGGTGAAAATGTCGTATTGAGGGTGAAAATGTAGTGATGTCCTATTGTCGGGTTGTCGTAGTGTCGGGTTAAAATGTCGTGATGTTGGGTTGTCGGGTTGTCGCCTTATGAAGGGCGACACCACATCACGACATGATACTAATCAGCTACCATACTTTTCTCCCCTTTTGCATGCCAATTTTTGTTAATTTTGTTGTCTAGAATGGACGAATGGGTTTGAATTAACATTTTCTGCCAGGTTTTGTTAAATATTTATTATTTTGAGGCGGAAGGATAACGGAGTTATCAGGTCGGTTACGGTGATATGTACGGGTTACATGTTTTTAGTATGCTTCTTCAAGTTTGTGTACGGTATCTCAAAATTTTGGTGGTCAACCTCATACAAATTTTAGTGCAAAGACATTAATTCATTTGTCTGGAATGAATTCAACCCAACGAAAATTTTGGGAAAAGTTGGATGTGGCCAAAGAGGCCAGAAGTCAATGGGGATATTAATGGTGGTCTGTTACCTGTAGCCTATATGATAGAATTACGTCCCATTAGTAGCCGATCTCGCTGGCGAAGTTCACGTTTGGTGTCGATCATGTGACATTTGGTATTTCCTTGGTGTGGAGGAAAATAATAATAAATATTTCGTATATTTCCTAAAGTAGATCTATCACAGAAAAACATTAAAGTGAAATGTGAAAATGACAACAGTTTTACTTTCCTTAGTTATTTTAACATGGTTTGCAGAAGTTGATAGTCAAAAATGTGTCTACAGAGACCCGTGTACCTGCAGTTTTGACCATTCAGCAGAAAGCGTAAATTTCGGAGTGGAAGGAGGTGTCATTGATCTCCACAGAATATCAGATGATGGAAACCCACTATTTCTAGATCCCAGAGAATCTGGAGGGAAATTTTATGAATATAGTCCATGTAGTGCTCATCCATGTCCAACTATAAAAGGTTAAAAAAAGAATATTTAAGGAGAGAGAGAGAGAGAGAGATGGGGACTAACATATGGTTTAATTTTATTTCAATAATTCGCTTGCACGAAGGGGTCTTTAGCAGTGGGAGGAAACCGAAGGACCCGGAGAAAACCCATGAGGTTGGACAGATGACCCTACTCCTTGTCACGTACAGGGAATCGAAACCACACCAGTTGACTCGATGACAGACTTTATGATACAGCACGCACATTTCATCCAACCCTCCTATTTAAGGATTGGATTAATAAATAAAACATTCTCTAACTCATTATTATCCATCATAAACATCGACATTAAAAACACGAATTAGAATTTAATATCAATGGTCCATTTCAATAAATATTGATGTTATGGTTATAGGCTCCAGATATTCAATATTTAAGACACAATTTAATTACCTAGTTCCCTACTAAGAAAGCTCTAATTGGTAATCTCTTTAATTTATCCTGGGTTTTTTTTTTGGGGGGGGGGGAGTGTATTAAAAGTTCATTACCGGTATATTTATAATAGGCAAATCAAGTCATGGAATGCTATTTTATGCCTATAAAAGTTGTTTCGATGAAGATTTCAGAGTAAATGCCAGAATATGTCCACCACCACTCTTATTAATTGTTATTACACAGTGGATATAGTTTACAGATTAGGTTAGGTTTAGTTTAGCTAGTAGAATGAATATATATGTATATAGATTATATCTATCGTTAATTTTATACTTTTTTAATGATTTTCATTTTTTTCAGATTCATCTCTATGTTTGACAACTAAGAATACAAAGAAAGTCCTGGACTTGGGTGATTTGAAGGACATGACTTTCACTACTACTGCAAATAAAACCACAGGGAAGCTCCATACATCAATGAAATATAAGGCATCAGGTAAGATAGTACATATATATAATATAATGCTTAATATCGCCTTGCATTGACTGAGGGGTTTGTATAATTATCAATTATTTTTGTATTTCTATCAGCCATCAAGCATTTTATTTCAAAAACAATGTAAAGCCTATAATTCTGGCCTAGTACGTTTTAAGCTAGAAGGAAATGACCAACAAGAGAGAGAGAAATGGGGTTTAGCGTCCACTCGACATAGACTAGGTCATTTCGTGACTAACATGTGGTTTAGTTTTATTTCGATAATTTGCTTGCGCATAGGGGTCTTTAGCAGTTGGAGGACCCGTGGAAAACCCACGAGGTTGGACAGGCAACCCTACTCCTAGTCACGTACAACCGGGGATTTAAAACCACGCCAGCTGACTCAATGACAGGCCTCATGATACAGCGCGCACGTGCTAACCATTCGGCCATCCAGCCCCACCCCCACCAAAAAGAGGACCACTGACTGTTAAAAATATTTATATAGATGTTTGTATTGACCTATATAAAAAGGACAGTTTAAAAACAACAACTCCCAATACTCATAAATTTATGAGTATTTGTTTAGTAATATACCAATTTACCAAAATATTAGGTATGCATTCCTTTGATCTCAAATTCAGTGTATGTTTAGAACAATTATCCATAGTTTGAATGGTACTGGTACTAGAACAGTACTGGTAGGATTCTGAGATCATAGTCTAACCCCTGCTCTTTAGATCATAAAGTCTGTCGTTAAGTCAAGGTGTAGGGGGTTTTTTTTCTGGGGCCTTCAGACCGGTATCCTTACACCTATAAAATTCCCACTCACAAGCAAATTATTAAAATAAAAGAATGGTATCATATGTTAGTCCTGAAATGACTTATTTTGCGTTGATTGAAATTTCTCTCTCTCTCCCTCTCACTCATTTCAATTGATGTTCTCTAGCAGTATATTAACCAAGAAAGGGAAGTAACTATTCATGTCTACTATGTTCGCCTGTACATTTGTATCAGTTTTTTATCCACCAGCTACACAGATGTATCAGTTTTTTATCCACCAGCTACACAGATACAACCTTTGCTGCTCTTTTAAGGTAGTTTTGCTGATCCTCTCCACCCCGATTCCCAACCATCCCCACCCCATTTTCAAAGTTTTTATACGCCCACATTGAAATGTGGTCGTATATTGTCGTCGCCCCCGTGCTTGTGGGCGCTCTAGAGGCTAAAGTTAATATCCGATTGACTTCAAATTTATACACAGTGTTTAAGGTCGTGAGACGAAGAAGCCTATTGATTTTCAGCGATTTCCGATGATTACTGCCAGAGCTATGGCCCTTGATCGCTTCAAAAAATCTTGTGGACGCTCTAGAGGTCAGAGTTAATATCCGATTGACTTTAAATTTATACACAGTGTTTAAGGTCATGAGACGAAGAAGCCTATTGATTTTCAGCAATTTCCGATAATTACTTCTAGAGTTATGGCCCTTGATCAATTCAAAAAAATCTTATGGATGCTCTAGAGGTCAAAGTTAATATCCGATTGACTTTAAATTTATACACAGTGTTTAAGGTCATGAGACAAAGAAGGCGATTCATTTTCAGCGATTTCCGATAATTATTGCCAGAGTTATGGCCCTTGATCACTTTGAAAAATCTTGTGGACGCTCTAGAGGCTAAAGTTAATATCCGATTGACTTTAAATTTATACACAGTGTTAAAGGTCATGAGACGAAGATTTTCGATAATTACTGCCAGAGTTATGGCCCTTGATCACTTCAAAAAATCTTGTAAATGCTTTAGAGGCTAAAGTTAATATCCGATTGACTTTAAATTGATACAGAGTGTTTGAGGTCATGAGACGAAGAATCATATTGATTTTCAACGATTTCCGATAATTACTGCCAAAGTTATGTCTCTTGATCACTTTTAAAAACATTGTGACCCTCTAGAAGCAAAAGTTATCATCCGATTGACTTCAGATTCATACACAGAGTATAAGGTCTTGAGACAAACAAGTATATTGATTTGCAATGAATTTTTATGACTTGAACAGCTAAATCCATGATGTTAAAAGTTTCCTATACTAAACGTTAGCATGGGGCAAAACTTTATAAAAACCAAACCAATTCTAATGGTTTTCTGATAATTACTTAATGAGTTGTTACTCTTAATCAGATTTTAATGTATTATAAATGTTTCATTACCGAAAAAGTAAAAATATGTGACAATTCTTGTTGACTGTCCGGACGATTTAGCTGCTGTGGGCGTATGTTTCGTTGCCTAGCAACCTATCTTATATAAACTTAAATGATTGTATTAATAATAAACTTGTCAATGTTTTGTTCAGGCACAAATATCACAAGTATTGTTCATCTCATCTGTAGTGAAACTAATGAGTTTCGGTTTGAGAAGATGACATCTGACAGTAATTATGAATTCACCCTATATTCACCATGTGTTTGTGTAGATGGTTGCCTAGCACCAGGAATTAGTGCCGGATCTATTATTATTATACTCTTCTTCTCCTCCCTTTTGCTTTATTTTGGAATTGGTAAGTTGAAAGATAGAGGCAGCATATATATGCCCAGAACTCTCAAGAAAGCAGGGGACTATTAAAATGGATCTGTGGGACAATAACTCTCCTTCTAATTGAGCTAGAACATTCAAAGTTCAAACTTGGTGTAGGTGTATATTAGGTGAATGCCTTGATGGAGTTCAAAGATGAGCATTTTCTGCTTACATTATGCAGAGATAAGCAATTTCATTGGTTGATGCTTTGGGACACAATAACTTTAGTTCTAATTAAGTGAGAGTGAGAGTATTGACTAAGTTCATTAATGAGCATTTTCGGCTCAGGGTAAGCAGAGTAATAAGCAATTCCATTGGTTGAGACTTTGGAACTCAACAACTTTGGTTTTAATTGAGTGAAAGGGATGAAACTTTGTGTATAGTTTCATTAGATCAATACTTTACTTAACAAAGTTAGATGCAGAGCATTTTCTACTTTATTAGATGCAAAGTAAAGACTTCAATCTGATTGTTTGAGACTTTGAAACACAATAACTCTCAACTCTTAATTGAGGTCGAACGTTCAAACTTGGTGTAGGTGTCTATTAGGTGAATGCCTTGAAAGAGTTTGATCATGCACATTTTCCACTAAGATAAAGCAGGGATAAGCAATTTCATTAGGTGAGACTTTGGAACACAATAACTTTAGTTCTAATTCGGTGAGAGCGATGAAACTCCAAGTATAGATTCATTATATCAATACTATGACTAAGTTCGATGATGAGAATTTTCTGCTTAGGCTAAGTAACGATCAGCTATTTAATTGGTCAAGACTTTGGAACATAACAACTCTGCTTTTAATTGAGGTAGAATGTTTAAAGGAGTTAAATCGCTAATATTTGGGACCAAGAAATAGACACATATGGGTCGCAACACATATAATAATGTAATATGAATGTATATTAATTGATTTGCATTCAGTCGTTTCTGTTTTTTACTCTTGATTTCAAATCTGTTATGTTCGGTGAAATACGCCAGAAGTCTCAGTCGAATGGCAATCTCTAGCATCTGGTTATTCCAGTCTACACCTATAGTGTTTATTGTGCATGCTTTGGAACATAACAACTCTGCTTTTAATTGAGGTAGAATGTTTAAAGGAGTTAAATCGCTAATATTTGGGACCAAGAAATAGACACATGTGGGTCGCAACGCATATAATAATGTAATATGAATGTATATAAATTGATTTGCATTCAGTCGTTTCTGTTTTTTACTCTTGATTTCAAATCTGTTATGTTCGGTGAAATACGCCAGAAGTCTCAGTCGAATGGCAATCTCTAGCATCTGGTTATTCCAGTCTACACCTATAGTGTTTATTGTGCATGCTCTCCAGATTAGAATTTGGTGTTACTGTTTGACTTGAGGAAAATGTCTAGCCTCGTTCTTCGAGTCCCTTGTTACAAATGTCGCTGAAACACATTATGATACATAATTCGTGTACCAAGAGTAAAATGTTTATCTGGTCTTAAATATGGGATATCAGAAGCCCATCTTTTCCCGGTAAGATCACATCAATGTTGATTTAAATTAACAAATGATTTGTATTTTCAATGTTGATGACTGTGGATGATATTGAGTTACAGATTAGCTACTTTAAACTTGATGTAGATCTTCATTAGGTGAATGTACGATCCCTGCATTGGCCGAGAAAGTCCATCCAGATTTTCTGGCGTGGTTCCCCCTTGTCAGTGATGCAGGACGGAGGGTCTGACAAGGACAGCTGTCTAGTCATTTGGATGAGACGAAAAACCGAGGTCCCATGTACACATTGGCGTGCACGTAAAAGATCCCTTGACAGTTGGAATTCGATATAAGAGTAGGCTGTAGTGCAAAATTTCCCTCGTAGCACACTGTATGGCGTATGCCCGTCTTCATTAGCCCAGTTCGGAGCAAAACAGTAGGACGTTAAACCCCATTTCATTTCATTAGGTGAATGTCTTGACTAACATGATTAACATTTGTCGTTAAAGCTAAGCAGAGCTAAGCAGAGCTTAGCAATCTCATTATTCGATGCTTTGGGACAATATAACTTTGTTTCTAACTGATGAATTTGTTTAACCAGTTCTATCACATGTAATAATGACTGACATCAATATTATCCTTTAAATGGGAGTATTAGTGAATGAAGTAGAGATGTGCTTAGTGAAATGGGATCCCAGGGAGAACTTCTTGTCAGTATCGTTAAAATTGTCTCTAATAGTCTTTTTCATCATTTTAATTCTTTCCTTTGTAGGTTGTTTGTATAAAAAGGTTGTGTACGGTGCCACCGGACAAGAAATTGTACCAAATAATAAGTTTTGGTTTTCATTGCCTGGCCTTGTCAAAGATGGATACATATTTTTCATTAGTCCTTGCTTGGGTGATCGAGCAGAATATCGTGTATATGATCGCTTATAAATGATGTTAACCTTGCCTCAAAAATATCTATGATGTCTATTTTTTGTACATATTCTCTCTGCATACAGTAATACTAGATTAGTATGAGATTTCTGTATTGTGAATTACACTGAGATATTCTCATTCTAACCTTAGTACTGTTTTATGCACATATAATTTTTAACCCCTTTCAGGGGATGTTTGGACTAAGGACCCCACCCATTCTGAAGAATTAATTTTAGCAATATGTGAAAAGTAAATATTCTATATGTTCTATGTCTTTATGTAATTAAAAATGTTCCTTCTCTAAAATTATTAATATTTATTTAACTTGTCTTACATAAATCACCATATGTTTGGTGCAATATAGCCCGGTGGGTGTTGACGTGCCATAAAACCACATTTCATTTCATTTCATTTGTAAAATTATTAGAATCTCACAATTATTGCTAAATATTAGAGTTTTTAAACTCTAATTGAATGATTTTTATTACTTAAAAGTAATAAAAATTGTTTAATGCTATTTGGTTGGTCAAAGAATTAAAGCAACAAATGTCACTTTCTCTCTGTTAAGATTATCTTTCTGCAGTTCAAGCGGGTTTATTTAAATTGGGCTATTTTCCTTTTATATTTTGCAAGAAATTAAAACCAATTAACTTCTGTGGGTCCGCATATAAGCCTCAAAACTTGAAACTGAGAAAATAATTTAAACAGTCCAATACCAAATTTATGATTTATTTTTTGTATTTATTGATGTGGAATATTATGATAGAATATGTTACTGGCTAATTTAAACAGTCCAATACCTAATTTATGATTTATTTTTTGTATTTATTGATGTGGAATATTACGATAGAATATGTTACTGGCTATTTTAAACAGTCCAATACCTAATTTATGATTTATTTTTTGTATTTATTGATGTGGAATATTACGATAGAATATGTTACTGGCTAATTTAAACAGTCCAATACCTAATTTATGATTTATTTTTTTTTGTATTTATTTATGTGGAATATTTTATATACATCTTATCTTTTATACATGTAACAAATTTTCTACCATGAAGATGGTTGTAAGGTTTATGTTTGAATCCAAAGAATTGGTCCTTACTAACTAAGAGATCATAGGGTAGATCCTAGTGCTGGCCGAGAAACCCCCTCAGGACCTTCTAACCTTCCCCTTGTCAGTGATGCAGGATGGGAGACCTGACAAGTAGAAGCATCTAGTCATTCGATCAGATAGGACAGAAAACCATTTCCTACATGATTACTCATTCGAGTACACATAAAGGAACACTTGACTCTTGAATTTCGATGAAGAATTGGCTAAAAAAACAACTTTCTGGACAAAATCTCTGTCGCAGCACACTGCCTGTCTCCATTAGCCCTTTTGGTCCAGATAATTAAGTCTCATTTTTTATAATTTACTTATAATATCTTATATAAGTAAGAGTAATTATTTCCAGGTACTTAATATTGAGCATTAATCAAACTATTATGTAAACTCATATTATCATATTTTATACATATTTTTGTTTATGACTCCTTTTGAAACCCAAAGCTTTGTGAAAGAAACCTAAGATGATCAAAATAATTTTTTATTTTTTATTTTTATTTTCATTGTTCAATTAGTAAGTTTTTTTGTCAGCTTTAAGATTGTTATAACTGTATTCTTGTTTTTTGCCCCCGCCTTTTGAAAAAAGCAGGGGACTATTAAAATGGGTTCGTCCATCGGTCTGTCTGTCCGTCACACTTTTTGTGACACAATAACTCTCCTTCTAATTGAGCTAGGATGTTCAAACTTGGTGTAGGTGTTTATTAGGTCAATGCCTTAATGGAATTCGAAGATGCGCATTTTCTGATTAGGTTAAGCAGATTTAAGCAATTTGATTGGTTGATACTTTGGAACACAATAACTTTAGTTCTAATTAAGTGAGAGTAATAAAACTTGTCGTATAGTTTCATTACATCAATTCCTTTGACTAAGTTCGATAATGAGCATTTTCTGCTCAGGGTAAGAAGAGCGATAAGCAATTTGATTGGCCGAAACTTTGGAACACAATAACTCTCCATCGAATTGAGGTAGAATGTTCAAACTGGATGTAGGCGTTGATTGGGTAAATGCCTTGATCTAGTTTGATGATGAACATTGCCTGCTTACGGTAAGCAGAGATAAGCAATTTGATTGATTATGCTTTGGGACACGATACTTTAGTTCTAATTAAGTGAGAGTGATGAAATTTGGTGTATAGTTTTATTACATCAATACCTTGACTAAGTTCGATAAGCAATTTGATTGGTCTAGACTTTGGAACACAATAACTCTCATTCTAATTGAGCTAGAATGTTCAAACTTGATGTAGGCATTCATTGGGTGAATGCCTTGATCTAGTTTGATGATGAACATTGTCCGCTTAGGGTAAGCAGAGATAAGCAATTTGATTAGTTGATGCTTTGGGACATGATAACTTTAGTTCTAATTAAGTGAGAGTGATGAAACTTGTCGTATAGTTTCATTACATCAATACCTTGACTAAGTTCGATAATGAGCATTTTCTGCTCAGGGTAAGCAGAGCGATTGGTTAATGCTTGATGCTTTGGGGCACAATAACTTTGGTTATAATTGAGTGAGAGTGATGAAACTCTGAGTATAAATTCATTACATCATTAGCTTGACTAAGTTCGATGATGAGAATTTTCTGCTTAGGCTAAGGAGCGATAAGCAATTTGATTGGACAAGGCTTTGGAACATAACTACTCTGCTTTTAATTGAGGTCGAATGTTTAAACTTGATGTAGATGTTCATTAGGTGAATGTCTTGACTGAGTTCAATGAATAAGATTTCGAGCTAGAGCTAAGCAATTTCATTGGTTGATGCTTTGGGACAAGATAATTTTGATTCTATCAGATAGAGAGTGATGAAACTAAAGTGGATAGTTGATAATAAGTTTGACTGCTTGATACTTTTTAAAAAAATAAATTTGCTATAAATTAATATGTGTCATCTATTTATTTGGGGATTTTGGTGGGGGACATCAGCCTCACTGTTGGCTTGTTTGTTGGGTAGTGGGGATGCACTAATTGAAAAACTTGGGTCTTTCAGTGTAAGCCACATATTTATGAGAAGATCTGTTTTGCAGAATATAATCATTTGTTATTATGTTAACATTTACATCCATTATTTATAAACATGCTTTAAATCTGTCCAAAACTCAACTTCTATTGATTTGATATGATTTTTGTATCACGCTTGAGCATCTTTTTTATTTAATTTGTGATTATTTTTATCGTTTGTTCAAAATTTAGAATTACGTAATTTAATAACTCTCTTTTACCTCCTCATGTAAGATCTGATATTAATACACCATAAAATTATAGCTTTAATGAAAGCTATCATGTTCCAAAAGCTCAAGGTTGTGTGGCCACCTGCAATTTATTTCATGCTGACATTTATATTGTTTTTTTCAGAAAACCATATAGTGTTGTAATTTTTATTGACAATGGTATTTATTATAACTGACAAATCTTGCTGTTATTTATGTTATTGCTTTATAATGCTTTATTAATGTTGTAACAAGCATATTTAATATAACTAAATCGTTTCTCTCCTCTTTTACCATTTAGCCTGTTTCTAGTCATAAAGATTTTACAGGTACCAGTTCTTTCATTTAAAGCAAATGAAATTCTTTCATTTAGGTCATGGTAATGACATGGTTTGATCTGGAGTATTATTTCTATTTCTAAGGCAGGTTAATTCGATCGTCAGTGCACATGTTTTAACACTGCACTTCCCAGACGAAACGTGCAGTTTGCGATGAAATGCGAGGGTGAGATGTTCACAATCAGAAGTATAGGTCGTGAACAGGAGAAAACATGTATTTCTAATGGAAAGGTAGCAAGAAGGTGATGGACAAGTCAAGAACATAAGATTATTTTCCTCGACTTATCCATCCCGTGTCCATCTTTTCTCGTAGTCTGGCCTTTGACTTCTTGTCCTATTTACTTTCCCTCGAGTTCTCAAATAAATGGCTTCCACAAAATATAAATTAAAATTTCATTTATTTACACTTTATACAACACCCACTCGCAGCTGCCAGTGTAATTGTGAAAAAAAACGAAACAAAAATGTATATGCGCGTTAATCAGATTGTATGTATCAAGAAGTAGCTTCGCCTGCATGATTACCCTCATTGGGTTTTTTTCCAACTTCTAAAGATCCTGTCCATACCTGAATTGTTGAAATAGAAGTATATCGTATGTTAGTCCAAAACTGATCTGGTTAGTGTCGAGACATTTTTCGTACTACCGAGTTCTGAAAATGAAAAATATGTAGTAAAGCGCTCTGAACGGGTGCTGACATTGATGAGGTCATAAATGGGGAGCAAAGCGAGTTACCCTCATGATGATGTATCGTTCCTGAACGCGTCAGAGATTTCGGTCTGGATAAGCTCACCCAGAGCAGCATTTATATGACACGATAAGGGCAACATGGACTCCTCCACCTTCCAGTACCCTTGGTAGATTCCTCCCTCGCCCTAAGGGTGGACAAAGCGAATAATCCACTGGCGGTCACACATCTCTTAACTTATAACGAGGACAATCAGTCAAATTGAACTCACATATACACAGACGGATCGCACAACCCCGGGAATGGTACCGGATCTGTATTCCGGAAAAGAGTTACAGGCTGAAAATAGACTGCCAAAACATGTGCTCTGAGTACACATTGGAAATGTATGCGATCAAGGGTATCCAGCCAAAGGTCAGAGGCCAACCGACTCGCTCTGAAAGGGTCAAAACTGACATTGCCAAGTGTCGAACTCCCTTATAGTATGGACGAATTTAAAAGTATGGTTGCGTTCCACAACTGCTTTGAATGGGAAAACGCCCTTGCATAACTCAACACTTATAGATTTAGATCCGACACGGACGTAAATGCTAATTATCAAATAAGGGAAATCTCTCTTCACTCGTGATCAATGCACAAGATAATATTTTAGCAATTGCCAGTGGATCTTTTACGTAAACTGCCAATTTGTACACAAGAACTCGGCCTTCCACGACATCAAAACAAGTTTTCCATCACCAAATGTATAGGGATTCTTCCGCGCTCCATCCGAAACCAAAGGCACCTCTTTGATTCGTGGGTCTAGCACTGCAGCAATTTCTATCTTTTTACGGAAATCATTGTCATCTAGTTGCTTTCGTATAAGCAGAAAATAGTCTCTTCGTGTTGGTGATGAATGTAGGTTCAGCCAGCTGTTTCTTCATGACGAATCCAAGTATATTCACCACAATGACATAATATATGACGTTATACAGTGAGTTTCGCTACACATTTGTTCAGATAGACATTTTCCACTTGTTCGCTCTGCACGTGGTGCGTTTAATTATTTGATATTGTTTATATTTACCAAATACATTTTGATGTATCTTCGACCGAAAGTCTAGAGTAGGCCTACTGCCATAATTATTATAACACGGACGTTCTACTATAAATATGAGTGAGTGTGATTGAGAATGAGAGATTAGGTCGTTTCGCGACTAACATATGGTTCAATTTTATTTCAATAATTCGCTTGACCAATGAATTTTTCTTTAATTAGCCAACAAACCGAAATCAGAGAGGTGTTGGTATTTGGCTTGAATATTGTGTATCTTGTCACCTACCAGTCTGTTCAAGTCTTTTAATATCTTAACAGATGAGAGAATTTGAAATTATTTTCAAAATCACATTCTTTCAAACATTCCAGTGGATTACATTGTACATGTAATATGATACGGTTCCAATAACTTGATTCCTTAATGCTGAAGCAATCCAGCGTTCACGAATGAAGGAAAACACAGAATACATTTCACCTGATTTTTTTACTTTTGAAGAGTTTTGATTTATTCACATTTACAAAATAAATTATAACAGAACAACAATATTTACAGTAAAATCAATTTCAAACGTAACAAATTTATATAAATAACAATTACAGTTTAAAACCTAACAACGCGTGACATTGTTTTACTTTTTCCTCTTGTTTTCTCTCTTTCCGTCTGTGATTTGGTTACCGTGCGAATATGATGTAATTCTGATCTATAATCTTCATGTAGCATCGGAACATAACTAGATGGATGGCACAAATCCTAAATATATAATTGTGAAGATTGTAAAAAAGAACTTGAAAAATGCTCATTGATATTAAGCAGTGTATTTCCGTATTCAAAGCCGTTTAGCATTTGCTTTAAATGTAGGTGGACATATACTTTTAAATCACTGAATATCTTAACAGCAAAGAATGACATGGAGATGAGTATTGAAGGAGTTAGTATTTATAAAATATTGAAACTCCTCCTTACTTTGAGTTACGTCAATTTAAGCAGATAATTGAATTGTTAAAAATGTACCTGATTATGTTCGTAGAAGGTTTTGTAGCCTCCATGTAGAATATAGACTTCTGGGTAGTATAATCTTGGATAGTTTTGAGAGTTTAACACACGATCTTGTGATCTCAAGTAACGTAATCTGAAAGAAACAATTTTGTTCACTATTTAGCAGGATTATCAATGCAAGGCCTAGCTTTGTTGAGATATTTCAAATTGAAAGAATTATTCTGTGTTTTATTTGGAAAAACCAATGATTTTGAATAGAACATTGGGTTTATAATCTACTTACAATGTAGGGGCCCTCTGGGATGAAAATTCACAATGGAAGATAAGAATCTGGGGTCTGTTTTTTTCTGAGCGTTGTAATAAAACATCAATAGATTGTTTCGTATAAATATTAACTGCGCCTTGTATGTGTCCTCCGTTATATTCATATGGATATCTACAGTCGATGATTGTGAAGCTAGTATGAAATTGGTTATACTCTCCGCCGAATAGATCTGTAAGCTGTAAAATAAAGTAAATGAATATTGGATACACATATTGTAAAATTTACGGAATGAAGTATTTTTGTCACATGTTTAATATTCTTTAACGATCTCCTGAAGATAAAGGCTTATTGAGACAGAAGTGGGGATAACTTGGTCAATCAGTTTTAATAACTTACTATTTGGGTTGTGATTGATTTGAGATCTTTATGTTTGCCACATATAGTAGGAAGAGTGTATGGTCTGCTACAATCAGCTATCAATTCTTCACTGTCTGATAATCTTTCTACGGCTAATTTAATACGATCAGCATCTCTATCCCGCATTTCTTCTTCTACAACTTGCACTAGTCTATTTTCTTTCGTTGTTCGACTTGGGAGTAGGCAGTTTGATTTACGCAATAAAGTAGGCGACGACTTCATTTCACTTTCTTCCATGCATCTCCGCATGTTCAAAGATAGACTACGACGAGGACCTTCTGGTTTTCGAAGCTTAAACTGAAATAGAAGGAAAACAGAATTTTGTCGTTAACGAAAATAAACACAATTACGAAATCAGTGTAATTAAAACCAAATTAATATACTTAAAACAAAAAGAAAATATTCTTACTTCAACATCCATGTTTTAAAGACAAAAATGTATTACACAAGCAGAAGACTGAAGACAAGATACGAAATAAAACATTATGCTATCACACGTAATATATACTGATACCCGTACAATCAATGAGTGAATTAAATCATCATTGATCATTGAATAGTAATCGATTATTGATTACTTATGATTGATTTGTGACCTAGTGCTGATTGTTTATCACTTATCAATGAGCGCCAATCGCTAAGTGATTGATAATGTGCATATGAACTGTCTTAACGAATAATGAAAAGATTTATTTGTTTAGTTTCGTAAATAAGTTTATTTTGATCACTTATCAAGTATTTCTTGATTTCATTTCAAACAGTCAGTTAAGATTGTTTGTAAAGACTGCATGTGACAGAATTTATATTCGAAATAATCTTTCATTTTGTATCGGCCCCTGATTGTACGAAATATCACGTTTTAGTCATGTAACAGATGATCATATTATTAAAGATGCATTATGTAAGATTTAGTTTAGTTAAAAAAGTGATAAATATTCATTCATTTTGATTCACTCACTCCTTTCGTTTGACACTTATCTCTGATATCATAAACTAGTGATTTGGCGACAAGCGGTATCTGGTAAGCTCTATTTATCCCGATGATCAGTGACTGGAATATTCCCAGACTGCAGTTCCGGAAGTCAATTTTTCAAATTTTCGGTGGCTTCGTTGAGGTTGGCAAGTCTGTTCGTTTGACACTTTCCTCACTGGTCGGATAAACTAGTCCTGCAGGTGACAGGCGATATCTGGTCAATTCTATTTATCTCTACAATCGGTAACTAAATACTGTACGAGTGTATTTCCGACTGTTTATTTTCCAAATTTTTCCGAAATTTACTTTGGCGCACAGAGCCTGAAATACTGCCAGACTGCATTTCCGACAGACTGTTTTTCAAAAATTTCTGGACGAGCCCCCCTCCCCATACCACTTAACCTTGGACTTTTCCCCAGCTTTGCCCCTCCAACCACCGGCGGCTCGCTCCGTCACTGCATGTGACAGGCTATTCTTAATTTTTCTAGAAGACATTTTCCACTTGTTGCGTTTATTATTTGATATTGTTTATATTTACCAAATACATTTTGATGTATCTTCGATAGGAAGTCTAGAGTAGGCCTACTGCGATAATTATTATAACACGGACGTTCTACTATTAATATGAGTGAGTGAGATTGAGAGAGAGAGTGTGAGAGTGAGTGTGTAAGAGAGAGAGGGTTGGGGGGGGGGGGAGTTTATCGTCCACTCGACATAAATTAGGTCATTTCTCGACTAACATATGGTTCAATTTTATTTCAATAATTCGCTTGACCAATGAATTTTTCTTTGATTAGCCAACAAACCGAAATCAGAGAGGTGTTGGTATTTGGCTTGAATATTGTGTATCTTGTCACCTACCAGTCCGTTCAAGTCTTTTAATATCTTAACAGATCAGAGAATTTGAAATTATTTTCAAAATCACAAGGCGTATCTGAATAGCTCTACAATTTCGATTTTTCTAAATATATTCGATGCCATTAGCATGCGAATTACGAAAAGTGGACATTTGCAAAACACAGTGGACAATAACACTCTTGCTGGCTTGACAGCTCCAGAAAATAAAAAATAGCCTTATTCTAAGTAATAGATGTGTTAGTGTCCTACCTTTTGTGTAAATTATCCATTAAATCCTATTTTACTTGTCCAGATGGTTCAAAAATATTTTTAAATCCATGTCACATTTGAAAAGCTTTACGTCAGGCTTTTCAAATCATTTAGTTGAATTTTTCCAATTTTTTAAATTAGGTGTGTTAAGATGAAATTTGTATCATCAATTAATTGGAATATTGTAAAATAGTGCATGCAATTTGTTGACCAGAATAAAGATTGGGACATATTATTCAGTTACAACAAGAGTGGTATTGAGCCTTTAATCCAGAACAAATGCTTTCAAACATTCCAGTGGATTACATTGTACATGTAATATGATACGGTTCCAATAACTTGATTCCTTAATGCTGAAGCAATCCAGCGTTCACGAATGAAGGAAAACACAGAATACATTTAACCTGATTTATTACTTTTGAAGAGTTTTGATTTATTCACATTTACAAAATAAATTATAACAGAACAACAATATTTACAGTAAAATCAATTTCAAACGTAACAAATTTATATAAATAACAATTACAGTTTAAAACCTAACAACACGTGACATTGTTTTACTTTTTCCTCTTGTTTTCTCTCTTTCCGTCTGTGATTTGGTTACCGTGCGAATATGATGTAATTCTGATCTATAATCTTCATGTAGCATCGGAACATAACTAGATGGATGGCACAAATCCTAAATATATAATTGTGAAGATTGTAAAAAAGAACTTTAAAAATGCTCATTGATATTAAGCAGTGTATTTCCGTATTCAAAGCCGTTTAGCATTTGCTTTAAATGTAGGTGGACATATACTTTTAAATCACTGAATATCTTAACAGCAAAGAATGACATGGAGATGAGTATTGAAGGAGTTAGTATTTATAAAATATTGAAACTCCTCCTTACTTTGAGTTACGTCAATTTAAGCAGATAATTGAATTGTTAAAAATGTACCTGATTATGTTCGTAGAAGGTTTTGTAGCCTCCATGTAGAATATAGAATATAGACATCCATAGATTGTTTTGTATAAATATTAACTGCGCCTTGTATGTGTCCTCCGTTATATTCATATGGATATCTACAGTCGATGATTGTGAAGCTAGTATGAAATTGTTTATACTCTCCGCCGAATAGATCTGTAAGCTGTAAAATAAAGTAAATGAATATTGGATACACATATTGTAAAATTTACGGAATGAAGTATTTTTGTCACATGTTTAATATTCTTTAACGATCTCCTGAAGATAAAGGCTTATTGAGACAGAAGTGGGGATAACTTGGTCAATCAGTTTTAATAACTTACTATTTGGGTTGTGATTGATTTGAGATCTTTATGTTTGCCACATATAGTAGGAAGAGTGTATGGTCTGCTACAATCAGCTATCAATTCTTCACTGTCTGATAATCTTTCTACGGCTAATTTAATACGATCAGCATCTCTATCCCGCATTTCTTCTTCTACAACTTGCACTAGTCTATTTTCTTTCGTTATTCGACTTGGGAGTAGGCAGTTTGATTTACGCAATAAAGTAGGCGACGACTTCATTTCACTTTCTTCCATGCATCTCCGCATGTTCAAAGATAGACTACGACGAGGACCTTCTGGTTTTCGAAGCTTAAACTGAAATAGAAGGAAAACAGAATTTTGTCGTTAACGAAAATAAACACAATTACGAAATCAGTGTAATTAAAACCAAATTAATATACTTAAAACAAAAAGAAAATATTCTTACTTCAACATCCATGTTTTAAAGACAAAAATGTATTACACAAGCAGAAGACTGAAGACAAGATACGAAATAAAACATTATGCTATCACACGTAATATATACTGATACCCGTACAATCAATGAGTGAATTAAATCATCATTGATTATGGAATAGTAATCGATTATTGATTACTTATGATTGATTTGTGACCTAGTGCTGATTGTTTATCACTTATCAATGAGCGCCAATCGCTAAGTGATTGATAATGTGCATATGAACTGTCTTAACGAATAATGAAAAGATTTATTTGTTTAGTTTCGTAAATAAGTTTATTTTGATCACTTATCAAGTATTTCTTGATTTCATTTCAAACAGTCAGTTAAGATTGTTTGTAAAGACTGCATGTGACAGAATTTATATTCGAAATAATCTTTCATTTTGTATCGGCCCCTGATTGTACGAAATATCACGTTTTAGTCATGTAACAGATGATCATATTATTAAAGATGCATTATGTAAGATTTAGTTTAGTTAAAAAAGTGATAAATATTCATTCATTTTGATTCACTCACTCCTTTCGTTTGACACTTATCTCTGATATCATAAACTAGTGATTTGGCGACAAGCGGTATCTGGTAAGCTCTATTTATCCCGATGATCAGTGACTGGAATATTCCCAGACTGCAGTTCCGGAAGTCAATTTTTCAAATTTTCGGTGGCTTCGTTGAGGTTGGCAAGTCTGTTCGTTTGACACTTTCCTCACTGGTCGGATAAACTAGTCCTGCAGGTGACAGGCGATATCTGGTCAATTCTATTTATCTCTACAATCGGTAACTAAATACTGTACGAGTGTATTTCCGACTGTTTATTTTCCAAATTTTTCCGAAATTTACTTTGGCGCACAGAGCCTGAAATACTGCCAGACTGCATTTCCGACAGACTGTTTTTCAAAAATTTCTGGACGAGCCCCCCTCCCCATACCACTTAACCTTGGACTTTTCCCCAGCTTTGCCCCTCCAACCACCGGCGGCTCGCTCCGTCA